AAGTTTAATTACAACATATATTCCACCATATTTACTAGGTGTGTTTCGAACAGGCTTTTTCCTGATGAAATAAGTGAAAAATCTTGGAAACTATACGACAAATCTACTGGAACAGTGGAATCCGCTAGAGATTGAATGACGAAATTGATTTAGTTTATTCTTTATTAGGATTTGGCATCGATTATTGGAGTTTGAAATGACCTACAGCTAGACTAGTGGGATGATGTGACTATTGACATCCCTCGGGTATATTCACGAAAATGTCACAGAAAGACCGTAGGCGCACACGCTCAGGTGGCCCCCTCCCCCAAACTAGGTCCAATGCCTGTCCACCTTAAATTTTACCACTAACCTTTTTTGCATTGCGAGTTTGGGAGCGAGCAGTGAAGTTTGCCACTGTATTTCGCTGTACGATGATTGTGAGGATGATGAACCCCCGACCTGGAGGACCAGGAGAATGAACTTTATTTGACCTCTACTGTTCGACCTTCCAGGCATGATAGGCTCCGCGGCTTGATGAAAGCCATCCTGTATAGCTCGTTGGGTCAGAGAGGCGCACAATCCATCACAACACGTCAAGTTGCAGTCGCGTCGTGTTGGACTTCGGATAAAAATGCAATATCTACGCGTAGTCGTGTAACGTGCGCATAGTCACTGCCTGATTCCCAATTTCCAAGAGAGTTCGCACGTTCCAGCATCCCTCGTAGACTCGCTTTTTAAGTTGAAGAGATTGTGGGGGTCCAGTTCGCATTCTTGGCACCCCGACCACTCGAGGAGCGCGGGGCGCATCGCTTACCAGGGACGCCGTAACATGGGAAACGAAACTTCTAGAAGGTATAATCATGAAGGTACTTGGGAGTTTGGTACGAAAAACGTCCCCAGCGTCTCGGCGTTTTTTATTGTGAGGGCGCACCTCTAACCTTTGCACAACCAAGTGCGAACTGCAATGCAGCAGGAAGTAATCCCTCGCCTCGGAAGTAAAAGGCCAGCCACATCGACCTTTGTCACGACACCGCCACTGGGCTTATTCGGCTTTTAGAAAGGAGCCCGGTGACCAGCCTGAAACCCACCACACCCTGGTAGTGCCGCCGCTATTTGTTCGCGACTGCTTATTTGTTGCGATATGTCACAACTTATTCATAGCTAACCTTCTTCGGTGAAGGTATCCCCCTATCCGCAACCCGGGGACGCGCCTGGTAGCATTCAGCTCTGCTTAACCCGAGGGTATTCAGACCTACGCCTAATAAACAACCGCAGAAAAGCTACCGAAAACGGATGCTCACAGTAAAGTGTCAGCAATGGTTTTAGGTAATCGCGATTGTCCACTATGGTTGACCTTCATAGATTACGTTGGTTGGGACATGTGCCACGCATGTCACCAAATAGGTTGCCATGGCGAGCGATGTTTGCCGAGGCAGGCAGTGGTTGGAAAAAGGTCAAGTGCGGTTAAAATAAAACCTGGCATGAGGGTGTGAAAACACTAAAGAGGACACTAGGTCGTATAGGTTCCATTAGTCTCCCTGGATTGGGACCCCGAGTTCATGGTAGCAGGTGGTTTGAGACGTTGAGTGATAAGGCTGGGTATCGCAAACAGTGGTGCTCGTGCATTTATTCAATATTCTTGCAACCCCATCTTCCGCTTGAATTTGTTCTCAACATTCCAATCTCCATTCTTCTCTTTTATCCAAATGGGTGGCCGAAAGATGGCTACCAAAAACGGCGCACGAAAGTGCATGGTTAATGGTTGTAAAAACTGAACTGAAACTGAATATGCTGACCGTGATAGACAGAATAAATCGAGCCCGATGAAGGACAAATTTCCCGATTGAGCTGCGCGCAAACCCACCGGACGCCATATCAAAATATCAGTAAAGTTTTGCACCGGCTCCCGTTTGATTTAGATTTATTCATATTTTCTTTTCTTCATGGTTACAGACGGATAACAATGCGGTGTGATGTGAGTTAGCATTCGGCGACACCCATCTAGTTGATTGTGTAATTCTCGGCTCGCCATAAGTTGCGCCTGGTTTTGACGAACTACTCAAATGGATTCCGACACGGGATTTTTGAAAGCTTTAAGCACGTTGAAAGCAGCCACAATCCAGGTTGAACGAAAAGATTTGTGCCATCTCCTGGAGGAGTCGTACGGTATGTCTGTTATGTTTGCCCCTTAATCAAATACCAAATTTGATCTGTGTAGCTTTGATGAAGCGTTGGAACTCGTCCCATTTGCGATTGTGGGTCCTCCGAGACAAAGTGTTCGAACCGATCCAGTTGGCCGTGGAGTCGAACGATCCACGCTTGTGCACACCGGCGGTGCATTGCTTACAAGTAGATGCCCTCTCTCGTTTTGTCCTGATTCTCATCTGTTCGCTTTATAGGCATTTTTGCACGACGATCGTTTTAAATCGTGCACGGAATTTAGTTCCGATCCACGCTGGATTCCATGTCAGGTATTGCACACACTGTGCGCATGCAACTCGTTTGAGGAAAATGGTCAAATTGAAGTATTGAAGGTGATTTCGTTTTTATCATCATAATTTTCTGCTATCTACAAGATCCTGCTGGATATTGTTCTCTCTAATCAGTGGTCTCTGAGTGTCAACCTATTGATCAAACTCGTCGAAGTGAGTTTCATTTAAAAGCTCCTGTGGGAATCGGTCGGGTGAATGAACCAAGAGTGCATAGATAAGTCATACAACTCATTTACCGTTTGACCGAGATGATACGCATGCTCTGTGTTTTTTCGGTTGAGTAAACTTTCCTGGTTACTTCATCATAGGTCAAGATGATCTTAATACAAATTCTGCTTAGAAAAATAGGAATATTATAAAGTGATGCACTTATCAGCGTGGTGACGATTTAGTCGCTGTCACCGGCGTGCTTAGAACCATGCCATTGAAAGATGCATTTCTTCTTCTGTTTCGTTGGTTAATTGTAGGTTGATATTTGACAATCCCTGTTGATGACCTTTGTATGGTGTCCGCTGTTAATTGGCCAACTCAGTGTTATTTGTTTTATTACACACTTTCGTGTGATGAACAGCAGACGGGGTAAACCCCATAGTCACGAGGACCTACTATTTAGTGATGGAAACCGGCAACCTAAGCCCGGGTGTTGGAGTGGCGAACCATATAAGGCCTCACTAGATCAGACGTGGTATTGGACCAGACGACAGCAAAGCTGCCTACCACCAAAGTTGGGTGGCAGTGGCGGGGCTCGAACCTCTAAATATAGGATCCAAAGCACGCCGGTGACAGCGACTAAACCACTGTCACTTATCTTGATAGGTAAATCTCAGTCACCCAGATCGGTTGTGAACGTGTTGAAATATCTAACTTAGGCACTTGTTCCCACACTTGGGAAAGAACTTTCAACCTAAAACAGAGATAACGGAGGAAGGGGCAGTTCTGAGCCCCCGAATTGGATCAGAAGTAATCGAGTTCCAATCCCCGGGCAGGGGGAGGGTGATTGACAAGGGCTGATGGTTTGTACAACCGGAAGGATAACATAACACATTACTCCCTTCAAAGTCAAACCCCCGACAACCTGATTGGAAACTTCTTTGCAGAATGCATTTTTCTTGCTTCAGCTATGCCTACGAATGTCAGACAATTTCTCCACCCCATGTGATGCCACTCTTCCACGAATGGTTAGTTCGACGTTGAATCAAATACTGGAATCCGTGGTTCTTACCTACAAACGATGCGAACCAGAAACGGTAAGTGTTCTGTTTTATGCTGAATGCTGTCTGGAAGTATAGTTTTCCTTTTTTATGTTTGTCTGAGATGTATCGACGGTATTTTGTTTTTTCCCTTCTACTCGTGAAACGCTTACGAGATAGTGGGGGGAAATGCACAGGTCATAGTGAAAAGAGATATCTGTCATAATTGACCAAGTTATCAGAGGTGAAACATTGCGATCGCTTATTTTATGGGCAAAGATGTCAACTGCCTATTATTATCATTGTCAATATTGTGAATAAATTGACGGACTTCGGCCACGCAAGCAACGATCCTCACCATCGAAGCAAGACTGTCAAATGCGGTGCAGGGTGATATTCACCGCGAAAGTAATTGTAATTCGGTGTATACCCCCTTTCTAGACTAAGAAACAGTTTGTGAAATCATTGAACCTACCTTAGCCATTGACTTGTGGTCCTGTGACGTAACCCGAGTCCACTTGACTTTAATGCTTTATATGCAAATCAGGGAACTGTTAACAAGAGCAACAACTATCTATTGTGCACTCATTCGAAATTTTCAGCTTGGTATCTAACGTAGTGCGTAAAATCGTATGCTTATCGGTGTTAATCATGTCCTTATTTTGGTGAGCAATAGGCGTATGAACTCAATGACAGGACTACTATCAGTAAGGGCTTTCTATTACCAGCTTGACAACTGAGTTCTGACCTCTCTTTCTGTTCCCACAGTTCGACTCGCTTGTTTGCAACAGCACGTACAGATGTTGCAGCCCATTGCCAGATCTTGTTTTAAGATCCGAGCTCCCGATTTCGTCCACCACAACCAGTGCAGCAGCCGGAACAGAAATCCCACCACCCGTCGAAAGGGACGGAGGAGAAGCTTTACGTCACGATTTACTGACTGTGTTTGAACATCTGGTCCGGTGTCTGTCATTGTCCACTCCCGTGGATGATCGCTCTGGTTCAAATCCGACCTGCTTCAAGAGCGGTCGCGTTCAAACCGTACTAAGTGCTGTGCTTACAATGCTCATGCATCTACCGACCGGCATCGTTCGGTTTCGGGCATTCACCGATGTGGTATGGTAAGCGTTTTCTCATCTTGGATTACTGGTTCTCACCAGCGAGCTTTAATTCCTCTTCTGTCTGTGGTTTACTCCTTCCACTATGTACATACTTTCACACATGCCTGAGCTCAGAATGTGTACAAAAGCAGGCAAATTTTCTTAGGGAGTTCACAAGCAGAACCTTCCGTTATCCTGACCTGCAAGGCAGCGAGGTGATGTAAAAACCGCAATCCATTGGGGGCCGGTGTCCAGTACATCGAATCATACGCCCGCTAGACAGGGTCAACCGTGCAAGGTGCTCAATACACGACGATGCCCAAATGAGCCGGTGGCCACAACCACAACCAGAGAGGTGCGTTTGTGTGTGGTTCAAGGATTTTAATCAACTCCCCTAAGTGGACTACCAGTGGTTCACCAACCCGGTTATGGTCCCGGATGTTGGCTTTTCTTCCTCTCACTTTGATGAGAAAACATCTCCGTCATGGGAAGACAGTGAGCAAGGCTTCGTCAGCAGAAGCCATTTGAAACGTTGGGTCGTGTAGGAGCATTTCACGGGGTGTAAGGGAATGGTGACATGTCACAACCCGAGACACTCACTGCGACCACACTGAGGCTTTCGGAGCTCAATCATGTAATGATTGTAACTCACTTCATGAATACTTCATAGAACTAACTTGGAACGACAGCAACGATGATGATGATGCTTGAATTCTTCCTCCCTCTCTGTGTTCTACTCCCGCCTCAGGCAATCATTATGTCCCTCACTGATCGCACTCATGCAGGCCAATTCAGCCGATGGATCCCCGTACAAAAAACTCACGGGAACTGTGGACTCACCGGAATTCGGTCGTGGCTCCGGTGTCGAAAGTTCGAATGGCTTGCCAATCCATCCCGACATCTGTCACATAGTGCATGGGTCAGTTGGGAAGGGTTGTTGTTGTTCTTGTTGTTTGCTACGATTTTGGTCATTCTCATGCCCAGAACTCTTCCCTGAATCTCATTTCATTTAACACAAACCGAAACAAAATGCTGAGTCCTGAACTCGACCAATGAGGAGATGGAATGCTATTCCGCGGAAAATTGTGCCAATGGGCGAACTAACGACTTTCTTGAGTGCTGCTATGTTTAATTTCACAGTCACCTATCTCTATGCTTTTTCAGTGGGGACAGAGTACTTGTTAGTCTCACTGGTGTGCTACCCCAATCATCGTCTTTAATTCTCTTTGCTTTGTTGCACAGAATCACAACGCGGTTGGCTCATATGCTCGGTCCATTGATCGAAATGCGACCGGTTTTGGAATCTCTGTTTCACAGTGTCCTTCTCTATCCACCTCCGAGGCAACGTCTGACAGCGTTGAAAATGATGCAACCGGTCAGTTTTGCAGATTTGCTTAGGTGTACTTATACATACATACATACATACATACATACATACATACATACATACATACATACATACATAC